TGTTTTAAGATCCCAATTCGACCGATCCGTTAGGTAGTTATAGTCTCTTCTTGAATGTGTTACGCTAACAGACAACATGACATCCTTGATATTAGGTTATCTCTCGACTAATAAATAATAATAAAGTTAAATGAAGAACAAACGTCTAAATCAAACAAAGCAAGTTTGTTTAGGTGGTTCCATTTGAAGAATATTATAGTAGACTCGTCAAGAGCATTGTGCTATTAACAAGTTGGTACAGCACTATAACAGTTGAGCGTTCCAAGTTTGGGTGCTTAAAGTATCCATTACGTAATCAAGTAGATACATTCACACCCAGTAATTGGGAAATTCCCGAGGCGGGCCGGCGACGGCGACGCGGCTACGTAGCGGTGCGGGCGGCCGGGTGCTGAAAAACAATTTCACGCCAAATCTTAGCTTGTGTTTTCCTATTTCCTTTTTATTTATCTTTTAGTCTTTCCTTTTCTCGAGAATCAATTTCACGGATGAGCGTCGCGATGATCTCAGTTCAAAAAGCGCGAGGGTTGTAGCGTCGGATGGGTGCACGTGTGCAGTCCGGAAACCGGCCGGCCCGCGTCCGTCCCGTGTCCGCCCGGAGGTCGCGTCTCGCCCTCCTCATTACCCGGGTGACGCAACAACGCCGCGTCTCGATAATAAGCTTTCTGCTCGCTGCTCCTTGTGATTGGATGGGTTATGCGTGTGTTATCAGCGTGTGCTACTCATCATATATCTCGCCCAATTTTCTTTTACATCACTCCCTAACGCTTTTTCCCATTTTTCAATCTTCTCTATATCTGATGGCTTTGTGTACCGACAGTTGGATGTAATTAAATTTTAATCGCGAAATCGCTGAATTAATGACTGTGAAACAATGTTGTGTAATTTACTGTATCGCACAGCTAAGTACTGAATAACAGTGATTGTTTTGGCGCACACCCAGATGGCAATGCGCATTTTGCTGACGTGTACAGCGTGAGCTGCAACACTCGTACGTACTCTACATTTTATTTATTTGATTCTTTTAATTCCAATCTGAAATGGGAGACGGATGTATGTAGCTGTCGACTTGCAGTATACTTAAATATAAAGTTGTGGAAAAGTCAAAATAAAGTGGTGACATGAGATGCCTTTTAAACACTGAATCGGGCCGGAGCTCAGCGGGCCGGTAGAACCGCACGCTTCAAAATTGTCGGGCCCAGGCGCCGGCGCTCCCTCGGAATTGACAATTTTACGGGCGGTTTATTTCCGGACACCGAACTTCCTTGGTCAGAGCCGCTCCCTCTGGACGCCTCCCAGACACCCTCAACCCCTTCGCTTAGCGCTGTTTGTCTGCAGATACACTTCTAAAACAAACAAAATTAGCGATAGCACCACTTTGTCTATTCACTTTATTTATCGAAACTTCACTTAGTATTATAGCATTAAGCGGAAGGACTATTTTAAAAGTTGCTAAGATACACTCACAAGGTAGCTATCTACATAAAATTTACATTGTATGTAAGTGTCTTAAGCGAAAGCTTCCCACTTAAAAGCTCTACAAATGCACTGAAAGCTCTTTCGCGCACTAATCCCAAACCTTTTAGCTGCAATCAAAAGCCCCGAGCGCTGTGTGCGGGGCGCGCGGCGGCGGCAGCCGGGCCCGGCGACGTCATGCTTGTGGAAGCGACTAGGAATTTAATTTACATTTTTAATTAAGTTAAATTTTGTTCGAAAAGCTTTCACAGAATAGGAGTTTTCTTGATTAGAGTTCAGCTCAGCCTGAAGTTTGAGATTGATTAGTGGAGGTTTAATTGCTCTCCTCCGGTGAATAATGAATCCGATCAGCGAAGTCAGAAGGGACTGTCTTACAGATTACATTGACGCGTTAATATATCAAAACAAAAATCACCGGTCACGTTCATATTCTATTGAAAAAGATCACTCCAGATGTTTTATTATACAATTTACATTTATGATTACAACGCCGGGATGTCCATACTTTGCCTTTCCCAGTGTTTGACGACGCGCCGGCCGGCTGCCACGTAATTGATGGCTGGGGTGAATTTTAACGTAATGTTGCTTAATTGATCGTGTTGATAACATAATCATAACGTTCTACATTCCGGTAGCCAACTACTAGTCACCCTCGTTGTATAAGGAAGTAAAAGGGTTTTACTATAAATTGAGTGGTTTGAACCCGAAAAGAATTTATGTTATGTTTTAAATGATAATGATGTTGATAATTAACACAATTTGTAAAGAAAGTTAACTTCCGCTTATCGCATGCTTGCCAGATAACCGGCGGAATGGAATTAGCCGATGCGTGGTTTGGTGTGACTTTCTCTCGTATTATAAAACACTTCGATGGGCGCATATAAATCGGAAAGGGCACAAAAGCGGTGTATTATAGCTGACGTAAAAGCGAATAAATAATCGACTTCCGCGAAGTACTCTCGGCGAGAACAAGTCGAGAGCCGGTGACGTACGATTTGACGTAGAATATTTTATCCGGTACTGCGACGCCCGTCATCCATTCCACTTATCCCGGCACTCTGTTGAATTTTTGACACGTCGACGGAGTACTGCCCTTTTCTTCAGGTGGTTTAGTGGGGCAAAGCCCTTTAAATTCGCATTATGTCTTAGGCGCTGCCTCGGGGATCGTTTGTCAGCCTCACACTACAAGTAGCGACAGATTACTGGGGGGGTAACACATTCTTTGTGTGATCTTTGTCACATAAGTCGACAAGATGCGATTGTTTGCGGTGTAGTAAAGAAGAGCTTTACGTGGGTGGTTAAACTCAAGGTATTGTTGAAAAGATAAATGGTGGCATTACTGATTGGTGCGGCTGGAGCGCGGCGCAGCTGTCCGTCCCCACCCGCCGATCGGACCGAATCCGGCGCACAGCAATCCATATTAGATTTGCCCGCTCTCTCATATCCATTCTGAGATGTTCATATTTTATTGGGGCCAATAAAACGGATTCATGAATATGAGAAATGCATAACGAATACCGTATTTATGGATGGAGGCGTGCTCGCTCCGGCGCGCTCCGCGGATATGTCGCGGGTAATTTGATAGCCGCCTTTGTAACAGGTGCTGATGGGAATTTCGATGCGGTTATAAAATTTTTTCATTCCACTCAAGTTTGATAGCATATTCTGTTTTATTTTATACGTGTATATGATGTTATTTTTGACTGATGGAGTTTTATTTTCAATGTTTTGTGTTTTAATCTTCGGTTTTCGGACATGTGTTTAAATAATCAAATCTTGATTCGGAAGATAATAGAATGTGTTTACAAATTAAAGCGTGATGTAACAGTAGCTCAATGACGCGCTTTGTATTTACATTTTCGTAGCATGGCAGGTATCTGTGAATGGGAGCATAAATAACCGTTGCAGTGCGGCACACGGCGGAGTGGTGGACATGTCGAATGCCACGCATTAACCACATAACAGGTGTCTCAACAATTAATGGCACTTTGTTCGTTACGGTATCGATACTCGTGTGGCGAGCTGCTTGTTTGCAACTGAAACTATGATATTTCTCCTCTTTCCACTCTAATTCCCGCAATAATTTGACTTTGAATTTGACACACACTGCAACTTGTCGCGTGTTCCATTCTCACACGGAAGAACTATTTGTGTGATCTACATACAGATTATTTTTCCTGGTCTGAGTGTGATGTTTATGTTAAATTGTATGTTTGTAAACGTACTTACCTAGGACACAGGAGAAAATCCTAAATTTTTTTTAAAAGAAAGAAAATCTAATTAGATCGACATCTTAAATATCTCATTTAAGATGTCGATCTAATTAGATTTTCTTTTAGAGAATAAACTCGAAAAAGTGTCAATAATAGGTTTTTATTTTCTTTAAAACATTCCAATACGCTCTAACTCAAACTAAACGTTAAGTAAGTAGCTGCTATTTATGATCAGTATTGTCTATTAAACGTATAAAAGACGGTCGTAAGTTGCGCCGGCGCCGGAAGCCTATAAATCGCTTCAAAGTATTCCAAAGATGGATCGCTTCATTGCGACTAGTGGTCCAGACGATAAAGGGCGGGCTTCCGACATTTGTGACCGCATTCGTAGTCGTAGTATTTATTAAGAAACGATTCCACTTTGGTGGTCGTTCATTTGTCAAAATACTCAAATAAACAACTATTGTAGTTGTAGTTTTACTTCTCTTAAGCAAAATCAAAATGACAAAACTTAGCCAGAGTTAGGTGCTTCTATTTGAGGCGTTAGAAAATTGATGACATCCAATATGCACACGAGACAAGCCACAAGAGATATTAGTGCCTCCCCTAGTTTCAATTTACAGCTTTGCTTGGACGTCTCAACCTTCACGGAATAATACCACCAGATAGTGCGTTTGTTATTCATGTTACATTTGAAATTGGACTCTACAGCGTATTTCTAAGACAGAAAATTATTATGTGTAGCTCCAGTTGTGTTTGGTTATTGGAAATGGGACTGTAGCGTGTAGTTTATAGAGTTTATTTCGTGTAGGGTCCTTGTTGGCTGGCTGGTACCGTTTGACGGCAGTTTGTCGGAGTAATAAGGTCTCGCGGAGTGGACGTAAGGAGAGGATATCGTTTATTCTAATGAGGTTTCGTAGCTAGACGCGTGCTGCCGGGGCCCGCTCTCAGCGTATTACTTACCTTCCTTCCAGCTTCGGCTAGAATTCTTTGTAAATAAGGACATCTTTGCATACAACATCGATGGAGGTGCACTTGTATACTTTGGTCGCAAGCACTTGGAGACTGAGTTTGTGAATAGAATTTTGAACAAGACATTGTGTTTAGATAATTTATTTTTTGGAAGTATTGGACAACTTTTTCCTGTAAATTCTCATCCTTTTCCTTATCATACAAGATAAACATGCTCAACAAAACAAGACAAAATGTATTCTGTGTTAAGTAATTATAATTGTGACTACCTATTACCGACTTAAATAAGTACCTATATTATACTTGCTGCATAGTGTTGACGTGTTTTTGCTTTTGTTACAGAACATAAGTGTTGTGTGATGTGCGAGTGACGATCTCGCCATGATTCGAGATCCGCCGGCCATGCACAAACCTGAAAACGCCAACAGTGAGTACAAAATAAACTTTATAAACATTGCTACTCTTCATTCAAATTATCTTTAACGAAATTCTACACACATCTTCTCTATTAATTATTATGTTTTCGGCTTACTCACGTAATAATTTGACGAGATACTCGACTGGTTTCAAGCCATGCTAGGAGGCCCATATTCATGAGCAGCAATCCGCAACACGCGACGCGGCGACTGTCACTCTGCTACTGACTAGATACTGCTTGAAACTAGTCGAGCATCTCATCAAATTGTTACGTGAGCAAGCCGAAAACATAATAATTAATTTAGAATGTCTCACGAAAGTTATAATAAAAACACATCTTCTCTGTTGTGATTTCAAGAATTGCAATCCTAGCTATCTTATAAGTTATTGAAACCTTAATTAATATCTATACAGATATCTCGACTTATTTATGCGAGTAAATCATCAGTAAATACAATGAGAACTTTAATAGCTCATTGTAATGAAAATATTAAGTTTGTTTAAATAAAAGACAAATTTAATTCTTAAGATCATTGTTTACAAGTTGTTAACGATCTTGTAAACACTGAATATACGTTATGAATATTTAAAGTAGAATTGAGTTTTACTAGCGTTAAATAAAAGAAAGAGCTACTAGCAGTAGACAGGCAAAAAGTAAATCAAGGAACAAAAAAAATATATAAGCAGACGTTTTCGTTTTGCCGACGTCAATTTTTTCATAATATTAGGACAAACAGGTCGCGAATAAAACGCGGGAAGGGTTGTGCCATAAACCGGCCAGTGCCGTCCGTCGCGATATTAAAAAGGGGACGAACGATATTGCAATATCACATTTATGCGAAATGTCCGACACCCAGATCGTATTGATAAAAATAAGCGATTTTTTATTGTGCCCCACAAACTTGTACCGAGTATGTTTTCCTACAGTATTGCTGATTGTAGTCTGTGTCTTTTAAACGGTTGATGGCCGATATAAAACGGTAAAGATTTCTGATATGCCATCTTTGTGAGTAACAATCTGCAAATAATATGTCCCCTAGCTGCCCGGCTATTTAAATGAAAAGCGTAATGGATTATCAAATCATAGCTTATTATTTAAATAATAATAACCTGTCGTGATTTAAATTAATTTCAATCGAACTGTCGTTCAAAATGGTATTTGAAACGATAAAGCCTGTGCGCGGTGTTCAGACTATAAATGTGTACGCTGCAGCTATTTTTGAGCTGCAAACCAATACATTTATTGGCCGACAGTTTTAGAGGGATTATAGATTGGCCAATTCCATCTAAGAGTAAACACTTAAGTTGGTGTTTTGTGTCGAGTTCTCAATCCTGAGTGCTAGATGTAATACTAAATAGTGTAAACATGTCACGGCTCGTCGATTTACTACCACCAGTGCTAGAGACTGCCGCATTGGCCAATTTCGCACTCGTGGTTATTACCTCATATTTCACGATAACGTAGTTATCCATGAGGAAGATTTCAATTTCTTCTGAAATAACAAAACAAATTCACATGAGCATCAAATGCAGCACGGGCACCGGCGGAAAATTGCGGAGACAGTGCGGCTGCGAGGCGGCGCGGCAGCGTGGCGTGGTGTGCCGTAGCGTGGCGGCAGCGGCGGCTCTGGGCGGCCCTGATAAAATTTATGGCCACTTCCCCTTTAAAACAATATTGAGGGCTCAGTTGGGATTTATGTCTCGCCGCTGCTGCAGCGACTCAATTTATTCTTCAATTTTTCATACAATAACTCACACACGTATTACGAGTGATGGATGAAAAGGACTAACTTTCGGGCTTTAATAAGAGCCTCCAGATGCGAATCTCCAAATTGGCTGAAGTTTATTGCCCACTTATGTCAGGCTTAAGTTTCGCCCGGAGCCTTTCTCTGAGAAAATAATTTATGACGTAGATTGTCTCGACTTTGTATACGTTTGATTGTCGTTTCGGGATACGATGTATCATCTAGTGATGTGGGCGATCAATTTACTTTTCATTATTGCCACAATTTTATTAGGAACTCTCTGTTTCAATTGTGTAAACATAACAGTTAACTAAAAACGAAAAAAAGAACTGTGTAGCATAAATCATCACGAACTGAACAGACAGCAATAAATAATCGTCTCACTAATTTTCCACTTCGTTAAACAAAGTAAAATTGAATAAGCTATTTTATGAGATGTATTGCCCACAATAGTATCGCTAAACGTGTCTATTCATTAAATAGTTTAGTACCTAGTGTCTTGTCAACGCATAAAATATGCGACAGGTGACAACACGATCACAAATGTGAACTTTTTTGATGTACCTACATCAACCCTAATAGTATAAAGAAGAAAACTTTGCATTGTGGTGTGTATGTTTGAATTGAATTAACTCAAAAACTACAGAGCTGATTTCGAACATTCCTGTACCATTGCAGAACTACAATCATTCATTTAAATAAAATTGGCTATATTTATTGCAAAAGAAAAAAAATGCAAAGCCTATATAGGCTAGTATAGCCTTTAATATATTTAAAAGTACCTACAAACAATAATTTACAATCAATATCAAAAAAGAAGCACCGACGATAACATTTTTTTTAATAAACAAGGATTAATTATTATCTGATAATGTAAAATCGTCAATTTTTCTGTTTCTTAAACAACACTAAACAACTGTTTTTGTATGAGTACCGCACTAGCTTCAAACAGACATCCAGTAGTTAATTTAATATGTAGATTGAATATTTGCGGCTTGTGTTAACAAAAACTGGTACGATTATAAAAGAAAACATACTCCCTCATGCGTGACTGTATCTACTCAGTTCTTGTGTTCAAAATAATATGTACCTACGCACTCTTTCACTCGACGCATTAATCAGTAATGGAATGTTCGCTCATAATAATTCATTTCCATAATTAAATGTATTTGTTTAGACAACAGTTTCCTACTCAAGTTGTAGCTGATTAATCTTCGCAAATTGCTAAGCCGGCCTCTTTTTATACCAGTAATGAAAAGCAATTAAGATACGGTTTTCTGCCATCAAATAATTGAAATTTTAATTGCTGAAAACTCTTTCCTTAGAAATCGTTTACCACTGCCATTAGGCTTAATTCAAAAATTAATTTAAACTTTCACAAGGTTGAGCTGGGAAGCGAGCACCGGCGTAAAAGCAATATCAATTTCATAATTTTAATTAAAAAAAAACTAACTTCTGTGATGACAAAGTCTCGTACTTTTTTAATAACGGAAATGTTAACGATGGTGGCAATAGGGGAGGGTGGGTCGTGTTGCAGGGTGCGTCGCGCTGCCATAGGTCAGCTGGAATTTTAATAAGGCGTCTGCACCTTCACCTTTGCACCTCGTTATTTGCCGCTTTACAACCACCTACACAGATTTATTTGCTACATTATTCTCAACTAATTACCATAACGACTCCGATTAAGATTATAATAAGGGCCAGGTCATATAAAATATTGCACAGTTGCATATTGATTTAATTGTTCTGTTTGGAATGTACTGTTGCCACGATCCAGTAAGGAATTCAGTGTAATTAGAACGTATATAAATATTAATTGCCAACATTTATTATTTACGTTCGATAAATGTAGATATCAGATACTAATTAATAAAAAAATATATTTTCCGATTTAAACTTTCTACGGACAAAACTATTCATTGATTATGTTTAGGAAAAATATATGAGGTATTGAATAATGAAATAACAAATACGTATATGTATGAAGCGGTACGCAATAGTGAATAGATAGTATCGTTGCCAGGTATTTAGAAATGTGAGTAACGTTATTCAGGGCGAACATCCTGCTCGTTATTTTTTACATTTTAATCGCTATTAATGCAAAACCCGCATTTGGTTAAATCTAATTACAACCCGCATAATGGATATCGCAACAATGCAATCAACTCCATTGTTTAATGAGTGACCGGTGGCTAAAACTAAATAAACTGTATGACCATTTAGAATAGCTGCAACCACAATCATTATACAAATCCATTAGTATCGTACTTTAGATCGTACCATATGATTACGTATTTGTTTTCGTAATTAAATTAAATAAGCGGTTTCTGTTATAGCAATTCCGTTTGCAGATGGAAATTTAATTAAATATGTCTGTTTAGTTTGTTGTTAGAATATATTAAGGTAATTAATTTCAGTCGTTGTAATACTCTCCTTTATACTCGTTTTCTGATATTCCATTTTGGTACGTACCATTTGTAATTAATTCAAGTTTAATAAAAATGCAGTAGCAGATTATGAAGTAGTCAGAAGTTATTTCTTATATGATAAAACGGGTCGTGAGCAATCAACTGCAATCAACAATGACAACGGACACCCGCAACACCAGTGGTGTTACGAGTGCGTTGCCGGCCTTTTAACCCTTTTCCCGAGATTTAGGGATGGGGGAAGGGAAGGATTGGGCCAGACAATCAAATTAATAATAAAAAAGTAATAACAGGGATGTGCCGGTCGCAGCTTGTTACACATACGCGTTAATACGTATAATATTAGGGTAGCATACGACAGTCATTAGGGTAGCCAATAATTATTAGTTTATGGTACCTACCTACCCAGTTCATTTAGTTGTTTTTGTATACAATACGCAACCCTAGGATGGACAAAACTGTTATAGGGCTCAGAAAGTCTATGTTAAGGGTTGAGTAATGGTAATTTGTTTTTAATTATAATAAACTAATTTGGATATTAATTAAAGGATACCCTAAGCTATATTTCAATAGCGTCTAGGTTGCAGATGTTACCTCAAAAATGTTCTGCAGCTCCAGCTCGGAGAAGAAGAAGGAACAGGCTAGGTTTAAGTCACTATGCTAAGAACTCACGGAGCGATTTTCGCCCGCGTCCGCTGTGGTTGCGGGCCCGCAGCTTCTATAGAATTCAAATATATATATAAAAAATTAAAGCACATTTCACGACGCGTTTTACGCCCGCGGTGTACGCGGTTGTATGCGGCTCCCGCTGTACCGGCGGGCAACTAGTAGAATCGCGCGGGCCGCGGTTACCCGCAGCCTCGGCGGGTGGCACCCGCGCGCTTTGCGATCGGTTGGCGAGCGACCGCGGGGGCCGGCGGGTCTTCTGTGAAGTAAATATAACGCAACGGCTCGTTTTTGGTGTGTGTCCATGGTGGTCTGGACCTCAACTGATCGTTTTAACCGCCCGTCTTGCAATCTTGCGATCATCGCCCGCCACGTTTGTGGGCGATGATCGCAACCGCGGCGGCTGTGTAACCGCGCAAATAACCGGTCTCGTGAGTTTGGAAATAAAACCGCAGTTCCGCTACCGCGGCGGGCACGGTTCAAAATCGCTCCGTGAGTTCTTAGCCTAAGACTCTGACACCCTCTTCCATCTAGACCGCCAAAAGTCATTTGATAAGACTCCTTACAAATAAGAAAAAAACGATTGTTTGTGTCTTTGTCATTTTGTTTGTGTATCTGTTTAATCAAGAGATAGTGATTTGGAGACTTGGAGAGACGTTGCCTTATAGATCTCTGTTCTACTGTTGGTATTTATAATATATTTTCATTAAGTTAAATAGCAGATGCAATAAAGAGGATAAAACAAGTACATTCTCTTGGAAAATATATCCAAATGTATCAGCGAATACAGAAAACATCTTATGTAGCATCATAACAATGCAATTTGGCATCTTATTGTAGTAGCGTAGTTAACTAGCGAGCTCTTCTGCACAATGTCAACATGTTAATAAGTCCAAGAGTTATTGCAAAATGGAGATTAAAAACTTCTTTGTTACTAGCTTTTGCCCGTGATTCCGTTAGCGTAGAATAGTGACTTCCTGCCGATTTTTGGTATAAAAACTATGCTATATCCTTTCTCGAGTTCCAAACTATGTCTGTAGCAAATTTCACAGAAATCGGTTCAGTAGTTTAGGCGTGAAGAAAAGACAGACAGACAGAGTTACTTTCGCATTTATAATATTAGTTTGGATTTATTTTCTACAAATTAGGTATGTAGAAAAAAGGCCAAACAAAGGTGGTCGTGACAGAAATCGACGTGATATTTGAAATCCGATTCTAGTTTTTTTTTTGTTTGCGAGCCATAAAAGCTTCAAACATAAGTATAAAAAAACAAATAAGCATAGGTAGTCTATAAATGCATACACCATAATTACCTAATTACTCTTTGGTTAAAACCATGCCATGATATGCTAATACTGGCACTATAAGTAACATGATGCATAACATGTCCATGGCAACATTTTGTTGCAGAATATTGCAATAACCTATTAAAATGAACTTTATGGCTCTATGCAGAAATAGCTTTATTAGCGTTAATTGACGTAAATATGTATTCCGATCATTTACCACAAAACCTTGTAGAAATATCGTTCCGAGAATGATGCATAGTCAATGTGGGCATGTAATGTTAGCATATAGGGATGGCGAACTAATTGCAAAACGTAATAAACGATTGTAAATAATAATTAAGCGGTATGTACGCTGTATTCTCGTGATTCTTACTAATTACAATTATAGCCGGGTTCTAATTAAATTCGAAGAATGTTTGTGTTTTATGGAGCATTACTAAAGAACCAGTATTTTGAAATTTTTGTTACGAATCAAATTTTTTTCCTATTATATTACATGTTTAATTTTTAAGTTTATTAGTTCAATTATGGCGACCTCATTGCAGGCGAGAGTATTATTTTTTAAATTAATAATGATAATTATAATGTCATATATCTAATAGAAACTCTTTTCTGAAAGGATGTAACAGACAGTCTGATTCCAATTTTAAATTTTCAGTCTATAATATCTCTTCTTTACATAAAAAATAATTCATTCTAAATGTTTTTCCACATTTATTTCTCGTCGATATAACAATAGTACATTGAATTCAGTTACACACTTTGTTCTTCGATAGAGCTCGAACTAACCAATAAAGGCTGAGAGTTTGAAGATATATTGTTTGTTGGCAATACATACGTATACTAACATATATAATAAACTATATTCATGTGAAGTAAAAACAGGTAATAGACTTACTGCTAGCATTTTACCCGCGCTCCCAAAACAAACGGAAATGAGTTTCGTCGCTAAGAAAGGATTTTCTGAACGAAAGTCCATTACGGATTCCAATTAGATCCCATGTTTAGATGTAATTTCGCGGTGAAATTAGAAAATTAATATTGTGTTACCGGAGGCTGGGGAGTAGGCATGTCAGAGGGGCTTGCTTCGGCTGTGGAGGGAACAGTTTCTTTTACGCACAAAGTCGCCACGAGTATTTTGTCACTGAGATAATATCGCTCGAAGATATTTGTAATAATCAAGAGGAAAGTATTTAAATACAAGTGAACATTAAAGGCTTTGTTAGGCTAAGAACTCACGGAGCGATTTTGAACCGTGCCCGCCGCGGTAGCGGAACTGCGGTTTTATTTCCAAACTCACGAGACCGGTTATTTGCGCGGTTACACAGCCGCCGCGGTTGCGATCATCGCCCGCAAACGTGGCGGGCGATGATCGCAAGATTGCAAAAAGGGCGGTTAATGATCAGTTGAGGTCCATACCACCATGGACACACACCAGAAACGAGCCGTTGCGTTATATTTACTTCACAGAAGACCCGCCGGCCCCCGCGGTCGCTCGCCAATCGATCGCAAAGCGCGCGGGTGCCACCCGCCGAGGCTGCGGGTAACCGCGGCCCGCGCGATTCTACTAGTTGCCCGCCGGTACAGCGGGAGCCGCATACAACCGCGTACACCGCGGGCGTAAAACGCGTCGTGAAATGTGCTTTAATTTTTTATATAAATATTTGAATTCTACAGAAGCTGCGGGCCCGAAACCGCAGCGGACGCGGGCGAAAATCGCTCCGTGAGTTCTTAGCCTTAATGATCCTAATATTAGGGACTCTTTTCCTTACAAAACGTGACTCTCGAAGACTTTTGACTCCTAGAATATGACACCATTGTCACCCTAGTCGCGCTAAAATAAATTACTTTTCATCCATTTCCGGGTTTCTTTTCATTTCGGCGCCTTAATACGTTGGCGGCGGGCAACCGGCTGTGTCGGCGAAATTATACTAGCGGGCTAGTGCGGCAGCCAAGTCTCTATCAAACTCTCGAGTCGAAGGTAATAAAACGAAAATAATACGAAACGCCTTCCACCAGCGGATATTTATGTACAGACCATGTTATTAACGTGCACTTTATTGTTTCTTAATAGTGTATGGGTGAACAGGGGTATGTGGGCTACTCCCAATGGAATGCTAGCAGTATTGGTTCCGAGGCATTTAACAGATTGAGTTTTATTCCGTGTTAACATACTCAATTGTGTCGTTGGAATTGAATACTGATATTAATAGTAAGAAATCATTATACCTATATTTAAAACTGAAGCAGCCACGTACGTTTACAAGGTAAATACATAAAATCAATGTGGCTATTAGAGCGATGTGCGGTTGAGCGTAATTACAGCACTAACAACATGCATACAACCTGAAATGGTCAAAACACGCCAGTAACCGCACGGCGCGCCGTCGCCTCCGTGCAACATTCCCAAGAAAAATACTGAGATTTTTGAATGGCTCTCGCTTAAACTGGGTAAACCAACATTACGCGGTAAATGTTTTTACCATGAGGAAAACTTACCACAGTTACATACGTTCTCAGAATATTAAAGGAAACCACGTTGAATTGATTAGCTTTTAACGTTTCGCGTGAGCGCGTCTCACTTGTGCTGGCGGAAATTATATTACTTTTACCACTGGTTAATTTTGCTGAGTTCTTTACATTTCGTTTTTAGGAAACTAAAGCAATTATTTTTAACGAGGAGCAATGAGCTACGCTATTGTTTATGTGTCGTAATTAGACGGTACGTGGATTTGAGCCCATAGGCAACTGAGTTGTTCAATGCGATACCCCTTGTGGCGTTATGCCGCACAGCTAATTGTGAATGGCGACGCCCGGAGGCCGCACCGTCGCACGTCATCCTTATTATTTTATTAGTAAAGAGCCATTAATATAGGCCAATTAACTTTATTGTCGCGACGTCGGCTCCAATAAACGAGACGTATCGGCGGCGGCGGCGGCGATGCGCAAGTGATCGATTGCAATGAGTTATGTCCACCTAGTTACCCCTTCAATTGGATCCTTGATTGGTTTGACGTACGCACTATTATTATGTGGCCCGTATTTGCCGATAAATTGGCTCTGATTGTTTGCTAAATGTTCAATGCCTTATTTATCTGTACCGATGTATTCGCTGTTGATTTTAAAATGCAATGCAGGCGTTCGAATAAGTTCTCGTAACACTTTGTTTGTTTAAAAGGAAATAAGAATTGTAGCTTAGCCTTTTACGGAGCGAATGCTTCATAAAGTTTTATTGGGTGCTGCTAATGCACATAATGAGTCCGCATGTTCCAATGTTGCATTTTTTTATGGTGTGAGAAAAATGCGTATGCGCATCTTAATGACGTCAGCGAGCAACGACTGCATGTCATGCGGTATGCTTTTGCTCGCATTAATTGACGCAATTACACAGTAGAAAACAATCGAGTCTAACTTAATGCCATAACGACGCGTATTACGAACAATTACTGGCGTGTACCAGCAACATAGCGAATCATTAAATCAAACCATTACTTTTTCCTTTTGTGTCTAATATGCATAGCTGCATGAGTGTATTGTTTGTAATTGACGTTCCGTGTTGCATGTACAATGTACGACGTTACTTTGTTAACAGGTCAACAGGATGACAACAAGTACGGGCTCACCGTCAACAGCAACGTGTCGGGCGGCACGGGCGGCGCCAGGCTGTGCGCACAGTGCGGGAAGGTGATCACGGAGCGGTTTCTGCTCAAAGCGATGGAGAGGTTCTGGCACGAAGATTGCCTCAAGTGCGGCTGCTGCGACTGCCGCCTCGGAGAAGTTGGCTCCAAACTCTACTACAAGGCAGACCTCATGCTCTGCAAAAGAGACTACCTTAGGTAACATAAGGAAAACAATTTACAATGATACCGCATTTTACGCTTAAACGACTTTAATGCAAACTGCTCTCAGTATTTATATGTCGTAAGTATTTTATGTTTATAGCCTTGTTATTTTTAACAGGTTATTCGGTGCGACAGGCAACTGTGTGGCCTGCAACAAAGTCATTCCCGCCTTCGAAATGGTCATGCGAGCAAAGAGTTTCGTCTACCACTTAGAATGCTTTGCTTGTCAACAGTGCAACCATAGGTAAGCTAAACTTCGCTAAATAGAGATACGTAAATATGTTTTTGTCACAATAACACAATTTGTAAGGAAGAATTATTAGAAACAATATCTTAAGAACAGGCTATTTATAATGAAGAGAATAGATAAACTACAATAGGTCATATTTAATAACGAGGCCATTTGTCTATTAATGGGTAGGTGATTGACAGATTACTTAGTTGATTGTTTGTTCAGGTTCTGCGTGGGCGACAGATTCTACCTGTGCGACAACAAGATACTGTGCGAGTACGACTACGAGGAGAGACTGGTGTTCGCCAGCATGGCCGCCAACCCCAGCGGACTCGCGCACATCCGTCGCCAAGTAAGCGGACTACAGGTGAATATTTATGGAGCGACTATTTCAGCTCCGTCTAGACTGCTTTCATTATGAACCGATTTATCTACAACAACTACTGTTTATTGATTGACCCCGTTTATCGATGTCAATAGCTCCATTTAGCTGCTTTGTTAGCGCAGTACTCTCGTATTCCAAGTGTGATAGTTCCCGTGACTCAAATAGAAACGGACAGTCATGTCAAGCGCCGTATAATTACACGAGCGACGCATATTGTCGGTTCCCATCGGTGGCAGTATACGTGGTTCAGCTACAACAAACGACGTTGCACATCGCACCTGGAAAGCTGACGTGGTCCAATGCGGGCTGTGGGAGCATCAGCCACTCCGCCCGACACTCGCACTTACCTACTAAATTATTATTAACGTAATAGCTGCAAACTAGCTCCATTATAGTCTCCACAAGGTGGAACTACACACCATTTATCGATTTAATACGGATTCGGTTATTAGCTACGCACAGCTTTGCACTTTATTACAAAATTATGTGTTGAATGCTTTGCTCCACGTTTTCTCCGCACTTTAGTTGTAGCGAGTATAATGTGTTTGCATTTCACTACAGTCGAAACAAATACATTTTTTCAAACGTCTCCATTCAGAATAAAGGGCACGTGAAAAAGTCGACTCGGCGGAGTAAATAACTCCCACAAGGACACTGTTAGTGGGAGATTCTATCTCCACTTTATTATGTTTCTTTTGTGATCATTAATCTTTCTCGTACGAACGCTTGTCGGAATGCGAATGTGGGGGAATCTATTTCATTTTATGAGTCGCGCGAGTGGAGGAACCCATTCAGCCGCGCGACATTTCTAATCGACTTTTTGATTGCGTGCACGGTCTACTGTTGGGACCGTAAGTGAATTATAAAGCACATTATCAGCACACTTATGACTCTAATCTCGTGAGTAGATTTAAAACTTTGCTCCAGTTTTACGACTTTTTCTGGTTTGTTAAGGGGACTTGAATTTAATAAAAACAAAATTAGATCCAAAGTTTAGCCATTTTTTTATACATATTTAGGTAACATGAACTTCATTATGATATTCCTGACATTGAATTTGTTGTGCGCAGTCACCGACAAGTGGTGGTTACGTGGCGGGTGTGGCCGGATGTGGTGGCGGGGCTGCCGCGGGCGGTGCGATGGTTGACAAGGACGGCGGCGGATGCGCAGGCGCAGACGACGCGTCCAGCGGGTACGGCAGCCCGCCTGACCCAGACGTGTGCGATGCCGCACGATGACCGACGGTGCAGCGCCGACATCTCGCCTCGGTTAGTCAAGTATTCAATCTAAAGTTAACTCGGCATTAATAATTCTCATTAGAATATATTTTAATTAGTTGTATTTGTTTTGTACACAGGTAAAACCTCACTGAGTACTGGCGAGGCGCGCAGGCGGTCTGTAAGCCCTGGGCGTTGGGGCGAGCACATTCGGCATCGATGAACGTCTTTCTAACGACACAGTTATAGACACTAGCGTGACGTTCCGTTTCTTCACCCCACATACAAACTAGCCATCACCCTACAAAACTACCTTACATAGAAAATAGAGTAGTGTGTAACGCTTTATTTTTACATTTTGTTCATATTGAAATCTTGCGAACCTGAAATCTGTTATGAAATCTCGAATTGTTCTTGATATTAAGGTAATATAATAAATGTGTGAGGTGGCCAAGTATTCAGTGTTGTAAGCCGAGTAAGTGCTGATCTACATCGAGATGTCGGGAATATATTGGTGAGAGCGCACTCGCGGGCGCGAGACGGCCGCAGTCGCGTCGTGGATATGTGGCCACTTTACAAAGTGTCCGGGATGAGTCGCGATAACGTTGTTAGAACACGATATTTCCATTATGTATACGATTTGAGCACTTGTTTACATGTTAAGATAGCAGCGTCGCGTGGGTAGGGCGCGCGCTCTCGCTTCTACTTTATTGTACCTTCTGTACCACATCTTGCGCTTAGCCAATATAGACACGCCCCGTATCAATAAATAAGACAATGGATAAAATGCTCATTACATGCCCACAACCTTAGGTCTTTATTTGAATACATAATTTGGAATTTTACTTAGGGAGTAGAGTATTGTCGGTAATATATTCCGTTCGACGTGCCGGGCTGGTTCTCCCTGGGCGCGGCGCGCGGCCAGAGAGCGAGCGGATTGTATCGATTGTACTTTTATCGTGATACAACGATTCAGGTCCAGACACTAAAATATTAATTGATAAAATCGATCTCATTGTTATGGATTGTATGTATGTACATGTACTAAACATAAATATTGTTATCATACAAGGTATGAAGTTTTATTGATCGTAATTCCTTACTTTTATTTACTTTTGATTGGTTACGTATGTTAATGTTATTTTTTACCAAAGATAGGTTTCCGTAGAAGGGTTTTCTAAATAAGAGAGTCTACACAGATGAGCTAAGATTGTAGATGAATAGTGATATATTTGGTACTCTGAAGTGGTGCAATGGTTAGTTAGGTGCCTCTGTATAATATAAACGTTTAACTGTTTAACATTTGTAAACGACCACCTTACTTGTGAACGTCACGTGATGGGCCATGTGTAACCTTTTGTATTGAGTCACTCAGTGATGGGCGCCCGGCAGTGTAGCACGCAGGCTGGTACTTCGATGTCTGACGTTGATCAGTAAGGTGGTTGTCTTTCTTTTCGCCACAGAGCTTCAGTGAATGTTGTACGCGCATTAAATTGTAACAATCTTGAAATACAGATGATTGCTAAATCTTTATTTTATTTTAATAATAAAAGAAGTTGGAACCTCTATGTAGATAAATGCTAAAATTTTCTAAGATATAGAATACCTAATGTAAAATAAAGATTTCTACGATAAAATATGTATTTATGTAAAAAAATTGAACTGTCGTTACTTAGTACCTATTATTGGCTATTGTAAATTGTTCCAGGAATTTTAATACTATATACCTACTTAAACACGACCGATTTAACAATATTTTCAACTTCATAAACATCGACAGAATAATTATTTCATTTTGCCGTTAACGTGTAAATAAATATATTTATTTAATGATTAGACTTGTTGTTTTATTCATTAAATATATTTTTATTTCAATGTAACCCCACTAGGTATTAACTTCATATCTACCTAACGAAATTAAACATTTTTATTTTAACTTTAGCTGCAAGAATAATATTTTATAACAGTGGACTTTCGTTTTAAAGCCAACAAAACCGCACCAACAACATATGCAGAAAAAGATGTCAGAGAGTATTTATCTTCGGTAAATTTCCCAATTTCGAGAGAGTCAATAATCACAACAAATATTACAAGAACACCCACGGACGATACAAAAAGTCAGTGTACATTATTATATTACAAAAGCTTTTAAGTTGATTGCCGATCAAATATTACAGCCCCGTTCGTGAAAAGCACTTAAAACAATTCTCATGCGCAGCGGAGAGGTGTTTGGGCACTCCACAGGTACTCTGAGGGTGCTACACTGTGCTAATTGGCCAGAGGCTTTTACACCGATACAAACATCTTTTTTAAATTCGTTTAAAAATACATTACGCTGTCAAACAAAAAGCAACTATAAAATGTTTTCCGACGAATCGTGTGGACACGCCATTTTAATTCTCTTTGTCGGAACTGAACCGACTATTACCCGCATTAAGTATTCTACACATCAATGTACTAATCATTTCTTTGGTAAGTTTTTTTTATTGAACCAGTCAAGTATAGTTAGCCTTTTTACTTAACTGACATTATTGCCATCGGTCATTGGAAAATAGTGATGAATTACTTATACCGACCAATTTAAGAGAAGTTAAACTTAAAATAAAACGTTTGTATAAATAGGTTGCTTTAATTAATGTTATTTTGAACGTTTTAGAACTTTTATGTGAGTACATTTAATTTCGAAAAGTAGTTTCGCAAGAATCGCACATGTAAAAATAGCAAATGAAATAAGTATAGATAGTGCCTACCCACATTATAGTAATTTTATTTTTATGGAGATTAACTTTAACGATAATAAATAAATATAATAACTGCCATTATTTTACGTGGTACAAATTTTCTTGGTAACAATTAATCGAGTTCGTATAACAAGCTAAATATTGTAGTGTTTGTTCGGGGTGGGATTGTCCATAAAATTCTCAACGACGAGACGCATTAACGAGCGTCGTTTAGTTGTTTGCTGTTTAAATAAGAGCTGTAATGTAATTTTAATGAGCTCACAAAAATGTGTGCGGGTTCCGAGTATTCACGGACGCGGACGGCGCGTCGGCGCACGCGCAGTAATGACTGACGCACTGTCCATGTTGTTGTCACACACACTCATCTCCACATTTAAGAGGATTAACATACTTTATTACACACATGCTTTATTGAAGACATATTTTAAGAGTTTTTATGCACGCATCCTACACAGGTTTTACAACCTTAATGCCAATATTATCTTTCTGTAAGCCGTCGTCGTTAAATCGTCTCTTGGCTTTATTTATTAAGGAAATACATTTCAATTACGATAAATGTCACAAAGCCGCTATCGGTTAGGATTAAAAGGTTAATTACAGTTCATAGGCAATCCCAAAAGAATTTGGTTGCAGAAAGAATAGAATTTGCCTAAATTATTGAGAGCCGCGGGCGGACGCTCACCCGTGAAAACTCACTTAAACTTTTTTAATTAAATTTTGGATTTTTCTCGTCGACGCCGTAAGGAATCTTATCCTGGAGCTTTAGTCAAAACGTTGTATTAATTAGTCCGCGCACTGAAGACTAATGACTATCGTAAACGATTTTTGCGGAGCGCTGCACACCGCTGCTGTTTAAGCTGTGTGACGGTGTCGTAGCGGTGTCGACGGTGAACTACTAGCTTCCGTATTTACAAATGTTTTAGGTCACCAGTAGTGAGTATGTTCAGAAAAAAACTTGAGAACACAACATAATGGATTTAAACTAGGTCCCATCTGAGTAAATACATTACAAAAGCAATGAATTCAAGCGAGATCTGGTTCGAGGAAATAGCTATAAGTGCGCGCAAATCCCCGCTAATGTGTTTGATCATAACTAAGTGAAGTCAGCCGTCTTTGTTTGCGTTTAATTAACGAAAACGCCGCGCCACGGCTGGTCATTAAGCCGACCGATGGATTATTATAAAGTTCATGCAAAGAACGTTGCTTGCGCTCATATAATTAACTAAACATTAGCGAAGTCATTAAAGACTTTGTAAATATCAAATTAAAGTTGATCACGAGTCGGAGTTGCATTTAAAGGGTTCCGCCGTGAAGAACGCTTTGGGAGAAAGTGTTTTATTGTTTTTCAAAACTATTTTGTTTCGGGCTTATTTTTCAATACTCAGATAAATGTTATTTGAGGAATAAAATTATTGATGTTTCTGTCTTATACAAATATTCTGACGCAACAGCGTTATAACTATCCCGCAAGTGACTTTTATCTAACCACTGAAAAATCAGCCCTTAAAGTAATTAAATAAATCTAAAACACAAATAAAGTATACTAAAATGAAAAACAACAGTATTTTATAATAATGGATATTTTTGTGACTTATTTTTATTTTCCTAAATATGATTGTTGTCGAACAAATGATATAAAACGTATACATAATAAATTAGTCAACCCTTCCGAATACGGAACTATAAACAAGGAATCGTGCGAGCTAAAAGATGGATTCTCTGCGGAGCGGATTTATTACTCCCGCTAATAGCAATGACATTTTCCAACTAAATAAATAGGTAATCCATAAAAGATTAGATTTCGTGCTGAAAATGTCAGACTAATTAAGATCGTGAAGGTGGGATTTGCCATGTTTTATTAAACGCTGCTACGTGACAACTACTATTATACTATATGTAGATATATATACTGATTGTAATGTTTACTCAATTAATTATTGTTACAATTAAAATTACTTTGAACATACGACACGATAAGACTTTTCAATATTTAAAGTATAAAGTATCACACAGGTAAAATGCACTTAGCACTTTGAGATCTAAACAGATATGCTCATGAGGCGACATTTGATAAATTGATTCTATTTACGGACACATCGCTTTTACACCGCGTGATGTGAAGAGCTACCTGCACGATCGATCAATAAATAAATACGTGCAAGCAGAATGTTGCCGCAACCAATTAATTGCTACACTTGCCAAGTAAATTGAGGATGATATTTATTTTACTCTTTTATGAGCATTCAATATCCGGCCGACTATTAATTTACATGTCTCGGCCTCAAAAACCACTTTGAAGTAAAATCAATTATAAAAATTAAATTAACAAGCAACAACTAAGATTTAACCTCCGTCCATGAGTCGTGAATGGACCATTAACCCTTGATTTATTTAAGAAACAACTAGGTACAAGTGTATTGTGAGGCGCAAGAAGTTTCCGTCGAATCATTTAAATAAACGAACTCGCATCATTATGTCAGATCTAAGGATCGAACAAATTGCCAATTAGTGGCGCCCGTGGCGCGCTGGTGCGGGCCTCAAGGTGCGGGAAGAGGCGCGACGTGACGACGACGCGACGTACTCCGGTGTATCGTATCGTCTCACTGTCTACTAAATATTTCGGTTTAGGCTACTTGCTACGAGCCGGCTACGGGAATGCTACGTAACGGCTACGCGTATGATACGAAACGACTACGACCCGATAATTACTGTGTAATGACTATCGTCACGTTCACGTCGCGTCGACGTCTCACGTCACTCCATTCACACCGCACTACGATAGCTTTTAAATATAACGACCATTAATGCTTTAATTTCCTTGAAAGCAGTTTTAAAAGACTTTTCCGTTCTAAAACTTTCACATGAAAGACGATGACAGAAGAACAATGATTTGGATAGAGACGAACAGCAAACGACAGGCGAACTAGTGATCTATTACAAATAGCTCGTATAGAAATCTGTGTACTGGCCAACGACAATAGTGGTTTGCCTTTAACTTTGCTTCTTTATTGTGACCAGTATAACAAAATTATACTGAGTAACCCAAATGCCATATCATTATTTAAGTACATCAAGCAATAAGGAACATTTATTTAATTTGTACAATAATCCAAACAGTGTCTGGATTTATTAATACCACTCCACTTCAATCTTTGTGCCGCCCGGGGGGCGGTGCGGGGTGGGAGCGGTCCAAGAGCGCTCAGTATTCAGAGTATCGCAAATGTAACTTTCGGTTCTTTTCATGGCTAAAGTATGTTGGCGGCAATCCATAATGGGATCGCCATTATTCTTGCCATTAATTCGCATGGCCCGGCTTCCGTGCATTAGCGGCCAGCGACGAGGCTGCCAATCCACGAAAAGGGTCATTTCTGTACGACGTCAACGCTTTCTGTTGTGCAACTTACTTCGGGAAAACAACAACTTTACATTGTTTCCCTTACTTAGCCTGCACTTTGCTTTATGAATGTATGACTCACGACTTTTCTTGCTCTACACAATTATAAGTACTTACAAATAAAAGAAAGTTTGTAAACTTTATAATTACACTCATAAATGTTTTGCGTTTTGATTGCTCTAAATTTAGTTTATAAAATGTTTTAAATGATATAAACTTTTTGCTAACTTTTGTTAAGTAAAACAGATTGGAAGTTTACTCTTGCTTATAAATATTAATTCGTCTTGTAATAAGCTATGAAGTTATCATTAGAATTAAAGTTTTATGAACTAGTATGTGTACCAAACAGAAATTTTGATTATAAAAACGTTAAAAACTGAATTAACAAATGAAAGAACCTACATGAGGTGTTCCGCAGTCATTAAATTGAAGTTATCTACGTAGTTTTAACGAATCACGTGTGAAAAAGTTAGCTAATAAACCGAATGCGAAACATTTCAGACTTTGTAAAATTAATTAACAGCGGACGCATGCGGGAAATAAATCCTTCATTTTCCTGCACAGATTGCATAAAAATAATCAAATAAGTGGCGTGGACATTACTCAAAGCGTTGCAGTGCACCGCTCTAGACAAAGATGCAGACATGCAGGCGTCCCGCTCGCACGCGCCTCCACATCCCCCTTCCTGAAAGAAAAACTCT